TAAAAGGGTTACTTAGGACCGTTTAGTCGACTCGAAGAGAACTGAAGCGAGGAGTGGTGTTGAGAAGTAAAGGGGGGTGAGATGATGTTCGATTGAGTCGTAACGGGGAGGGGGTTGTTAGAGGATGTGTTTTTAAATTCCGTTCGGTGATGTTTGATGCGACGCTCATGGAGATGCTTAAGTAGTGTTCATGACCTGGCTTGCTGTTTTGAAGAGTAATCAAGTTTTGCATCCAAACTAATCCAGGGAACTACACCACAATTAAAATTCAGCGGTACTTATAAGCGGAAAGCAGAATATTTCACTGTGAAAAGGTATTTGTTGAGGTTTGTGCAATGGGATGCGATAAATGAGATGTAAATGCAATAAAGGTTTTGTTATTTGATTGGCAATGGGTTGGGGGATGGCTACATTTAGCAAATTTGGACTCTTCAGAGTTGATTGTTTTTATCAAATACAAGAGAAAAAATATGAAAAGAATTTTTATGTGGTTTATTAGCATTAATATTTAAACAGCTTTTACAGCACATTGGTTACTGACTTAAATAAAAATACTATAATCCAAATATAGCTACATTCAATAATTTAATCTCTGAAAATAATAAAAAATAAATAAAATGCCAATTACTCAAAGTAAATTTTTTCACTAATTATTTTGAAATTTTAAAAAATATAACTATCATAATCAAATATTAAAAATTCTTGTAAAAAACATGCATAGTGCTTTCAATGAATAATTTTGATATTTGATACTCAAATTATCATAGACTTATAGCAGTCAAAAATTTATTGTTGATCATCTTTGAAGCTTCTGTTAAGAATTTGACATACACGCTTTCTTTATAATATATATATACATAATCCCTTTAATTTCATCTGTACAATTTTTTGATTTGTAATGGTCTTGGCCTTCAGGTCTTGCATTTAAATAAATAATAACTGTCCATCTAATGAGAATCAATGTAACCGTATCTCTTGAAAATTAACAGCTTGCGCTTTTTAAATAAGATTACATCAGAATCTATCGAACGATATCTTCCCACCTATCATAGTCTCCGTTCGCGGAAATCACGTGGATTCCAAGATTATATGTTGCCGCTTCATATAATTACCCAAGACTGAAAAAATCTCGCTTTTTGCCTCTTCAATCTGACTTGGCACTTAACTATCGAAACTTCTGTATTCTTGGTGGAGGGTATGGCCGCGGTAGCCGAGTGGTTCAGGTATCGGATCGTGACTTGCCTTGTCACCAGTTCGAGCCCAGTACCACTAAAGACCCACCGTGTAGGGCAGCGATGCACGTTAAATCTGTCGAAAGCTAAAACGTCCACCCGTTGGTGTGGTAGTTAGGAGAGGGGGTGCCAGCTCAGGTGTCGTCCACGCCACTTGACCATGGTTCAAAATGACGCGGTCCGTCGCCAAAAGCCCTCGTGTAGCTGAACAGTGCAACGTTAATATTCAATCAATCTTGGCGAAGGGAGTCTTGATGCATTTAAAATTAGTTTCATTATTATTTTATCATTGAAAACCAGCCTTTAATTAAAGAGAAGAATGTATACAAGCATTTTTATTTAGAATTTTATATATATTACTTATTAATAAACATGATTATATAAATAGAGACAGATTATAATTGTTAATTTCTATACCATTGGAACTAATGAAAAAATACTTAAAATTAATAGATTTAATATTTTTAATTAGTTACAAAATTTCGTACTTTAAGACCGTCCCTTATTCTCCCCCCCCCATATAGATACCACTAAAAAATCAACAGTTGCCATCCCAAAAAACAAAAAATAAATAAATAAAAATTGCATTGCCATCCAACAATCAGCAAACGATCACGTGCGATACTCAAATGATCCTATCTTCGAAACCGAAACAGATTCCTATAATATAGGAAATATCCGGCAAAAAAAATCTGAAGAGAAGGATAAAAAAAATCCACATCGACAGATTTCCTTCGATTCAATCTACACCAAAGAATAAATAAATACAGGGGCGGGGGGAAGACACGGCGAGTCAAGTGCAAAAAGGCAACAGAATTTCCAGAAGCACCATTTCTATCTCCAAACGCATTTTAGAGATTCAACTTTACAGCATCCAACGTCCAGCGGACAGGAGAAAAAAAATAATAAAAATAAATAATAATAAGGGGAAGGAATGCCACAATCTCCCCCCCACCCTCAAACACACCGCACCCAACATATAAAAACCCCAGAAACGAGTAAATAAATAAACTATTCGAAAGATAAAATGTATCCACGCATCCACACATCTCTGGTGACGTATTGTTGGCATGAAACGGCGTATGTATATGTATGAACGCATGTATGCAACTCCCCTGCTCTCTGAGACTGACTTGGATCAATAGTGGCACGTTAACTCTGTCAAGTGTCTTGTGCCCCGAGTCAATGATGCAGCAGGGTTGGGGTCAGCGCTGTCACTCCCCGCAAAAACCGATCCACACACATCCAGACACACATGCTCTCCGTAAGAGATTGGCACACATACACACACGTGGTTGGATTTCTTTTTCTTCGCTCTCTCTCTCTCTGGTAGAGATCTATTTTTCTTTTTTTTATTATTCTTTCTTTTTGGTAGTTGCTTTTCGCTTTTTGACACTCTTCTCTTTTTGATGCTTTATTCGCGGTGGTTTCTCTCCCCCATCTCTCTCTCCTCCGCCTCTGATTCTTTCGCTCCTCTATATTTCGCAAGATCTCGCGTGCTCGCCGCCCCTTCCGAGGGGGATGTGCACAAATCGGAGAGATAGTAAAAATAATAATAAATAAATAAGGATTAAAAACTAAATTAACGATGTTTAGAGTATTAGGTAGTTTGATTTCAACAAAGTTTCCGATTCGAACAGATAGCATTCAAAGATGTGACGAGAACGACTACTGAGCTAGCACCTCCCCCTCCCTCCCTCCTATCCAAACGCGAAGTGAATGAAATGTGTGTGCAACATTTTTTTTTTAAAAAAAGGATGATATTTTGAATGTAATACAAAAGAATTCCCACTTCATAAATGAAGAGTATAATTTTGAAGTTGTTGACAGTTTCACTTATATATATTTAGATTCGAAATTAACAACAGAAACGATTGCACTACTGAAATCCAAAAGAGAATTACTATTGCTAATAGATGCCTTAATGGAATACGAAAACATATGAAATCGAATTTAATCAAACTAAAAACAAAGGTTCTATTGTATAAAAGTCTTTTAAAATCAGTATTAACTTATGCCTGTGAAACTGGGTCCATGTCTCGAACAGATGAGAACATGAGAACATGATAAGTACCTACCCCCAAAGAAAGATTTTACGAATTACTTTTGGAGGAATTCAGGAAAATGGAACGTGACGAAGAGGATCAAATTTAAAGCAATATCAATCATATGGAGAGTCTGGCATTGTTAACTTCATCAAAAGTACAACGAATTATATGGGTAGGTCACGTTGTCAGAATGGACGAAGGACCGCACTACTAAAAAAGTCTTCAATGCCCAACCAATTGGCCCACGGAGAAAAGGCAGGCCAAATCTTAGATGGATTGATGGCCTAGAAAAAGATCCCTTAGTTTTGAGAACTAAGAATTGGATAACAGTAGCAGGAAAAAGGCTGGCTTGGAAAAGGCTTTTTGAGAAAGCCAAGGCACACCCAGGGCTGTCGAGACCCTGAGGAAGAAAGGAATACAAAAGAATGTATTAATTTGTCTAAAAGGCCGGTTGGACAATTTTATCAAATCTCAGATATAACTCCCTTATACTGGCAGTTTTTAATTACATACTATATATTTTAGTATTTTTCATATACTCTCTTCATATAATATCTTTCTTCATTATGACTATAAACGTTTAGAACACCAAAAGGCATAAACATTTATTTATTAAAAAAGTATTATGTCAAAATTAATCACTGTTAAAGTTATGTATTTTTTATTTTACTTGCTGAAGGAATAATTTTTGTTATTTCTTTATTTATTAGAGAATATAATGTTCCAAATACATTTTGATATTAAATGTAACGTTGAAATTAATAGTATCAATTGAAGACCAGAAATGAACACACATACTTTTCATACAGTTTAACAATACATTATTTATTTTGCGCAACGATGCTTTATTTCTAAAATGCTCTAAAAAAAAAAAAGCTTTTGCAATTTTTAATTTATATAACAGCGAAGACTTTGTATCAGTTTTTTGAGAGATTATTATCTTTATTTGCATTTCCCTCCCTTTCACCGTGATTTTGAAATAGAACATAAATGAATGTTTATTTTTGATATTGAGTGTCACTTGCATTATAAAAACATAAAAAATGGTTTAGGAATATTATTACAAGAAAAAAGATGTGAATGCAATTTTTTCGAAAAGAGAAAAAAAGGAAATTTTCAATTTTAATTTTTAAAACTTTTTTTTTATAAATTTTTTTTTCTATATATTAATATTTTAACTATATATATATATATATCTGTATAGAGCCTAAAGGAGTATTTTTGAAATACATTCTTTAGAAGTGGAATTTATTCCTATTTTAATGTTATAGTAGTTGAAATAATATATATATATATAACTTAGGGTTATTGTTTTGATTATATTAACTCTAAAATAACGAGAATTTTTCAAAAACCCAAGTCAAGCTCAGTAGAAAAATGTATCTTTTAGGCAAAATATTATTATTACTTAAGCTTTTTCCATAACAGAAAATATTTAGAAAACAAATCATTTTTTCTTTATTTTTCAATTCCTCTACTATTACTTCACTCTCCCTATATATCGATATATATCTTGTTCAAATTTACAGTCCTTAACAAATATTTTCTATTCATTCATTCAAGTTCAAATACATTTTTTTAAACTTGTAGAGGATGACACTTGATGTTAATACAGTTTTTTCAAATGTTAATCCATTACTTCAATTTAATTAATGAATAAATTGTAACAAACAAAAATAATTGTGCAACACCATATATAGAAAGGAAAATCGTTCGCAGTATTTCTGTAACGCAATAAATAGCGCGTTGGACTTCTAATCCAAAGGTCGTGGGTTCGAATCCTACCTGGGATGGCCTAATTTCAGAGAATGTAATTTATAACTGAATAAATAGTAACAAACAAAAATAATAGTCCAACACCACATATAGGAAAGAAAATCGCTTTCTATTTTGCCACTTATTATTGTGATTCTGTCATATCTATATGCATATTTAAATTAATTGTAGCCATTTAATAAAAAGTAACTACAATAAAATTTTTCTTTGTGAACTTAAGTAGGAATTGAATTAATAAATTTTTTATTATATCACTTTTTTTACAGAAAATTTCATTTAAATATTCTTAAAGTAATAATATTCCTAAAAAGCATTTATATGTATACTCCAATTCAAATGTCACTAAATATGAAACAACAAATTATTCATGAACATGTTTTTACAAAATTACCATTCCAAACAAAGTCAGACAGATACCTTAACGCAGTAAACTTTTGGAGAATATGACATAAAAAAATGCTTCTCCAAATAATTGCATTGCTAATTTAAATGCAATTATATATTAAACATATTACAGTAAGCATAATTTTTTCATTGTTTATTTCTTGTCTCTTAAAACAATAAAGCAGTTTTATTTTTTATTTTTATTTATTTATTTTTGAGGATAGCATAGTATTTCTTAAGTTAATCACTAACAACATTGAAAACTTTCAATCACACACACACACCTAGCCTCATATTAGCCAACATATATATCCCATAAAGAAAGCTTAACCCTACTTAACTGCCCCCTAAGTCGATGACAGCTTTAGAAAACACAATAGTTTTCTATTTTGGTCAGTTGACATTTGATGCATGCGTTTTGGTTTGTAGTTGGTTTTCAGTTTCAAAAATTTTTCTTTCTCACGTCTATATGATATTCAGTATGGCCATCCAGTGGCACAAACAAAAAATATTCAAGGTGTGTGTGTGGGGGAAGGTAAAGAGTCAAAAGTCTCTCTTATCGTAGCTCAATCCTCCGCCAAGCATATTCTTTAGATTTTGTGGAGTTTGGAAACAAAAGCAATAAAAAGAAAATTATTAAATAAATAATTAGCATTAATCAATAAAATAAATTGGTAATAACAAATACGTAATTAAATTTTACGAACTTCTTACATAGGATTATCCTCAATCGAAAAAAAAAAATTAAGGGCTATGGGAGGGGGAAGACCCGTGGACACCCACCTTGTGTGCGCTACAATAGCCATCCTTTCTTATATACAAAATTATTATCATGATATAAATAGCACATATTTTCAGTCATAACATCACAAATTGTTTAGCTAAACAATGTATCTTTTTCCCTCTAATGTTACTAATTACTATATGTTTGTAGTTCAGACCTATGGAAAGTGGGTTCGTAATTTGTGGAGGGTCCCCTGGGTGCTTTCCTTTATCTGTTGGTAGGCTAAGCGGCGAGGCGGGAGCAAAGGATACAGATGAAGAAAGAGATGGGAGGAGAGAAAAGAACTCTTGTAGACAGTTCCGTGGATCAAGAGAACCTCACCTCACGGCTCGCAAGAGGTAAATATTTCAACCGGAAATGGGCCCTTTTTATTTGGATGCGATTGCAGGGAGAGGACAAATATTGAAATGTACATCTCCGCATTCGCTAACGGAAAGGCTCTCTCTTTCGCATTTTTTGCTTGGTTGATTGATAAGTTTTTCAGTTTTTAAGCGTCTTAGAATGCATATTTATTGTTAGATTCTCTTTCTTCAAATAGTAGGCACATGTGTGTATTTTTTAAAAAATATATTATTACTTTTTGTAAGGAATACCGAAAAAAAAATTTTTTTTTTTCGTAACGATAATTACAATTAATAACTTTTTGTACAATTGTTATATTTAATTATACATTTGAAGAAAAAATTATAGTGCCTTCACTGTTTTAAAATATTTAACTGCAAAATAAATTCCCGAGAGTATTAAAAAACTCCATTTTGCTCCCTGCATTAAAAAAAAACTGGATTCACCTAGTATTAAATAAACTAAAAAAATAAATTAAAAAAAAATTTCTAATGCGTGATTGCAACACGTGTGTTACCGATTATCTTACAACATACACTCGAAAATTAAAAACATTCCATAATTTTACAATTTTTCTCTTTACGATCTACAATTAAAAACTCCTTTCACCTGTAGTTGTAAGACATGAAATGCGATGACGTATTATGTACAGAGAACAATAAACTGATTCGAATATATGGGTACACATAATGCAATAAAAAAAAAAAGCTCTCTCTCCAAGATATTACTGTAGCACACACACAATTGTTCGATTTGTAACTGAAACAGATCAATATTCTTTAATGTGTTTAGCGAAGACAACCAAAATTAACAATATTAAAAGTTAATTCAAAAAATAAATAAGGTAGTTAAAATTAGTGCTAAGTCGTTCTAAATTAAATAAAGTTGAAGTGGGCATGGTAGTCTAGTGGTTATGTTAACGAGCTCGTGTCCAGCGTGTCATGGGTTCGAGCCCTAATACCACTGGAAGACCCACCGTAATAAGGGATTGCGGAACGTTGAATCTGTTGTGTTCAAAACCATCCGGTGGTGTGGTAGTTTGGAGAGGGGATGTCAGCTCAGGTATAGTTTTCGTCACCAATATCCCTTGGGTTGCTTTATAGTGCGACGTTAATAGACATCACTCAAGTTAATCAGTTGAGATCAGTAGAGACCTCAGCTCTCCTTACTAAAACTCCGATAGCTTCAATTATTATAATTCCAATTTCCGTCTCAGCTTGATGACCATCGACTCTCTCTGTGTCCGCTTAACTTTAAATAGAAAATCACATTTACATGGATCATGATTTTCCCTGGAAAGCGATTTTTTTAATCATGCAATAGTTAAAAGTTTCCCAAGAGGATAAATGAAAGACGCGGATTGTGGATCCGTTCAAAATACAGTATTTATTCGAATCTAAGCTGCCATCGATTCTAAGCCGCACCCCAAATTCTCAGACAAGTTTTTGGAGAAATGAAAAATAGTGCAAAATGGTTTATCGATATCCAGTTTTACGAAATTAAAATAAGAGTTTAAAATGAGAACTAATTAGAAGTGAATAATTAGTTATTTTACCAATATTATGAACTTTTAAATAAATACATGAACCTGTATTAACTTTAATTGCCCCCTCCAACGAATTTCCTCCCCTTCGATTCTAAGTGACACCCGATTCTTAGTAACATAAACATTGGATAAAGTCTCAGTGGTAGCGTATCGCACTTTCACATCACAGGTCAGGTTCATTCCCGTGCTGGGCTAGGTCCACTCAGTCTTTCATTCTACTGCAGTGGATCGATAAATGAGTACCAAGCCACTTGGAGATTTAAACACTGGGGGTCTCGCTTCAGACTGGCCACCTGATCGGGACATCTTCTCTTGCACCTCAGAGCCCAATGGTCACGTATACTGGAATGGGCACAGTAGGCCCTGGCCCTCATGGGCTGTTGCGCAACCGAGTTTGAGTTTTTTAAGCATTGGAAAAAAAGTGCCGCTTAGATTCGAGTAAATTTTGTAGTTAATAATTTACTTCAGCTGATTCAAGTTTAATGCCATTAAAAACGAAAACACAAATATTTTATTAAATTCTTTTAACCATTAATTTTTATTACGTTTAAAAAAATATACATATGCATTAAACCAGGGTTGGAGAAATAGCTGCCCTCAAAGAATTTTTTACAGGCCTCCAAGATAGTCAGAAACCTAAATATAAAGAAAATGTTCTCTATATTTAGTCGACATATATTTGTGAACAAAGTTTTTTTTGCATGAAGTAAATATGGATGGAAGTTGGCTGACAATAGCTTGCAGGCTGTGATAAGAATTTTAACAACCTTTCTCACACACGATCAGTGGCCGCGGTAGCCGAGTGGTATAAGTATCGGATCGTGGCTTTCCTTGTCACGAGTTCGAGCCCAGTACCACTGAAGACCTGCCATGTAGGGCAGCGATGCACGTTAAATCTGTCGAGAGCTGAAACGTCCTCCCGTTGGTGTGGTGTGGTAGTTAGGAGAGGGGATGCCAGCTCAGGTGTCGTCCACGTCACTTGACCATGGCTCAAAATTACGTGGTCCGTCGTCAAAAGTCCTCGTGCAGCTGAACAGTGCGACGTTAATACTCAATCAATCAATCTCACACACGATCTCAAAGAAAGAAAAAAAAAATTGTATACATATGTAATAGTGTGCATTTGTCTCATTAAACTGATTCTAAAATGAAATGTGCTTGATATTCACCTTATAGTTGTTATGAGACAGTAATTGGTAGAGAAAAGGTTCGAACGAGGACGCCTTAAGGCATGGGCCAGCTGGCCCCGGGCCCATGGCGCCGCCACTGTGGAAGTTTCTTTTGTCTCTTGACTCAGCCTTAATAAGATCATGATTCAAATAAATTCAAACGTCTTCTTTTTGTGTATTCTCCAAAAAACTGGGAATTTTGAATGATATGTGTCAATTGGCTACATACAGTGGCTCACACAAGAGGGGGGAGGGGGCTCTAGGGTCCGTCCCCCCAAAGCCCTTAATTTTGTTTCGATTGATTATAATCCTATGCATATAGTATGTAAAATTTGATTTATTATTTGTTCTTAATAATTAATTTTATTAATTAATGCTAATTATTTATTTAATAATTAATTTTTTACTGTATTTTGCTCCCCTACAATCGAAAATCAAATGAATAAGAGGCGTATAAGAGCATGATACGAGAATGGTGGACTTTTCGACCCTAGACCCCCCTCATTCCTTTAAAGATTCCTGTGTGCGCTACTGGCTTGCAGCTATAGATTATATGAAATTAGCACAGTATAAATAAATTGAACAAAAGTACCACTGTTTCATTTAACTTATTTTTATTGATTTTTATGGATTATTTTTCATCTTTCCTGAGATGCAAAGTTTTTTTAGTGAATGCAATCATTTCAAAAAGGTGCACTACGTCCGGTATCCACTGCTTTTACAATGAGGCCCTCCAGTCAAAACAATTCCCCGCCCCTGTATTACACCATTAAATTTTTGACGTACGTTGCT